AGCTGTGTTTAACATTTTCTTGATGCAGGGACAAATCAGAAGAATTCCCATTAAATATTTTGTTTTATTACATATCCAGTCATTCCAATAGAAAATGAAAAAAATAATACTGAATATGTAAGATCTCCCATCCAACCTAAAGTACTAGTTTCTGTAGTCCTTTTAAAATTATAATAATGTTACAATAAAAAAAAAATAACAGAAGGAAAAAATCCATGGGTTCTCCTTAACATTTTTTATAGGGAAAAATGAAGCTTTTAATAGTTTCTCAAGTAACTATATTCTGACTAACAGTACTTGTTCCATTTCTTCATATAGTTAGAGGTTCTTCATGTGGAATGAGATAACTTAAGTTGAAGTTTGTCCAGAGAATAAATTAAATCTTTTTATTAAGCTAATAATTTGGCTGATATTTAGATTGCTTATTTCAGTTTCAGACATTTGCAGTCTACTAGGCCCTTATTCTTGCCACAAGAACTTATGTGAGCTTTTCATATTGTAATATTGATGCACTTTACAATTGCTAATGCATTTATCTCCACAAACCAGAAATAATTAAGATTTAAACCAAAGATGGTTTCAATGATTTTTAGGATGGTGTTGGCTTGTCATTCAGATATCTCCTTTTAACCCTTTTGGTAACTACCCTAATATGTTTTCTTGTATGTGTCTCGACAGAATCTTACACTAATGTTAAAAGAGCAACATTAAAAAGCCTGAGGTGTTCCTATGAAAATTAGAGCAGAGATTTATTGACCTGTTTGGAAGTTACTTGTAATTTTACTATTTGGTTTGCTGGGTTTGCTTTTTTTTAACTTTTTACCACTTGCAACTTGAACTTGTCAAGTTTTTGCCCATGACAAGATTGTAACAATGCTCAGTGATCACAAAATATTCAGCAGCAAAAATAAGTTTGTAGTCTCATAACAGCTATTTATACCAACTGGTCACTGGACATTAACAAGCAAGAAATGCGTTGGCAGTGAAAATATGTATAGAGCAAGTATATGGCTGCTTAAGGGTCCTTTAAAATGTATTGTATTACAATTATTAAAAAAAGAATTCTGAGTATTATTTTGCATTTTTCAGACATTTTATACTTCACAGAAAGTAGTTCCATACATGCTATTTTCCACTTATCATCTTCTACTACAAATCAAATACGATACTTGGTTCTCTTTGGAAACCTCCATACCTCATTGCTAGTATTCTACATTAGATCTTTGGGGCTTTCTAATGGAACATCAGTTGCCTTGGTTAAGTCTTCTCAAAAACTGAAGAAAAAACTTCAGGAAAATTAATTAAGCTTTTTTTCACATAATTAGTTATTTTATCAACCATAATTTCCAGAATTTTATAAAGGTCATCTCAATTCAAGGAGTTTATTGATAAATTTATGAAGTTTTTCAATTTAGTATTTGATCAAAAACATCAAAATATGCAATTTTTACTGTACTGAACACATATAAATTAAGAGCTCCTTTCACATTAAAAAGATAAAATGCTATATTTTTACTTCATAACTAAGTGGTGTCTGGGCACTTAAATTGTATTCAGTTCCAGTATGCTATTCAAAATACAAAAAGCAAACGAAATTAACCTACAGGTTTTGGCAATGAAAATGGCCAGAAACCCAGGAATATATTATCAGGGGCCATACTGGCTAAAATGCTTTAATCATTTCCACTGAATTTGTAGGAAATGGAAAAACAGACGCTTCCACAGATATTGAAGGGTTTGATTTGAGGCCTTGGAAGAAGCTTGAATTGGTCTAAAAATAAAAGTACAGGGACATTAAACAGAAAAATTATAAACGTATGTTTCTATAGTTGCAAGTAAGAATACGCTTTAAATAAGTAAGAAACTGTAATGAGTAAATTAAGTTTCATGGTGTAGTAATGTAATTGCATAGAGTAAGCTGAGAGTTTAGACGCCATAATAGAAGTATATGTGTGTACATGTAATGGTAGCCCATTGGATTAAAGTATCTGCAGGGCAGCTGATGTAAGTAAAGGAGATAGGTTAGAAAAACAAAGTAAACTTTGTGACAACTTTCCATTGGATTGGAATGTTCTATATTACCTTGTAAAGAAGAAACCTGTGACTACCTTGAGCTATGGCCAACTTCTTGTTCCTCTAAAATCTCACAGCCTTTGAGGCTGATGTTTGTCTGAGTAACAAATCGTTTCTAGTCTGACAGTAGTCCCATCCCTTCATTAAAGCATCCATAATAGCATTGAAAACACACAAGGTAAGTAACAATATATTGAATGGGAATACATTAAGTCTCATTATCCACTCAGAAATGCAAAGGGATAACCATGGAAATTCAACATATAAAATAGAAAAATTTTTGGAGCAGTGCATAATTACATCTACAGCTGCATTTTAACACTGAACCCGAGTAAAAAAAAGAAAAACTCAAACTCAAAAGCTTTGCTTTTTTTCACTAGAGTGAACAATTGCCTATAGCATTAGATTTTCCATTTTATGATAGCTGCTTAATTTACAGAGTTGGACAGATAAAGTTCTATGATTAGTGCTTAGAACACAGAGAAAAAATATACAATATATTGAAATAAAAGAATCACTGGCAACTACTGCTTTAATAACACACACACAGATGTATACAAATAAATCTCTTAAGTGGGTCTTGTTTAGATAAAATTGAAACAAAATCCTCATTTAAATTTGAAAGCTAAGGGGTTAAAGAAATATAAAATAGCAAATTAAATCAGTTATTTTCTTTTGAGATCAGTCGTAAAATGCTAAACTGATTCTAAATAAATAAGCTTTTAAATTTCTTTAAAACAATAGTGGTTGACTCCTTCAGCTTTCTCTTACATGCTTTCTCAAACTAATTGTGTACCCAAAATCAAAGATAAAGACTGCTGATTAAGTAATCATGTTGTTCATGACATATAATTTAATCACCAATTGTTAGTGTTTCTTAAATGAAAATAAACAGTGTAATTGATGCTTTTCAAATATTGGAAACTTTATGCTTTGTGGAAAAATTGTCTACTAATTTGGGACTCAAGATACATTGATACATGTGAACATTTTAAAATCTCTTTTGTTCCTTATTTAAGAGGTCTGTAATAACTAAAAGAGAAACAGATCTGAAAATTTTGACAACTAATGACAGCTGCTTCAATTACCAAGAATTTATTTTCTATAGGAACATGAATTTTTATCTGAATGTTTTTTCCTCTCCAAATGAAAAACAGTTCTTGAATGGTCTTCCATGCCATGAACCTTTACTCTGTATATATTTATTTCCTCATAGCAAAGTGTCCACCACAATTTCTTTTGTGTTTCCAGCTGCCAAAACATAAACTGTAACATGCCAGAGCAAATTAGTCTTCTTCTCACTATCCACTTCAGATTATTCTAATTTTCCATAAAGTATTTTAACAGAACATTAAAATTCTTCCTGCCAAAATCCATGACTGTAATGTCAGCAGACACTATGCTAAAGAGGTTTACTCAGGATATGAGAAGTAGGACATGCCCCAGCTTGCATTAAGGTGAATGAGTAAATTCTTATTGATTGTAATAAACTGGCCAAGTCCCCTCACTGGGCTGAGATTAATATTCCCCATCTCATGAGAAGCTTATTGATAAAATTTTTTATGTCTAAATTTTTTTCCCTGTGACTGCCCAGTGCTGGGGCCTTGAATTAGTTGTTCATTTTACAATTTCTGGTTTACTTCTGCTGATCTCCTCAGAATTTTAATAACTAGGAATAATCATAAAACTTTTTTTCACTTGATATATACTAAAAAGCAGCTCCTTACCTAATAACTAACACATGGCAGTCTTTGCAGGTCAATGGATTTGCCAGGGTAGAACAATGAAAATCACTTTATATTGATGAAAATCCTTACAGTATAGTGAAAGGTTTTGAAATAAAAACTGTAAGAAGAAAAATTTGTAAATACCAAGTGCTTAAGTATGAGGCATCCTTCTAAATGGCAATGGAATATCTATTACTTGTCAGAAATACTGTGTGTAGCTATAATTCTATATAGAAGCCAATTTCCTGACAAATAAAGCTACTCCTATGTGTTAGAAACATTTCTACCAAAGGATCAGATTCAATGAGGTGCCCACACTTGGCTTCTCTTTAAGCACAGAAATCAATAAATGCAATAGACCGATCGTGTGTTCGAAGTTTATCATGCAGTTAAGCACTTTAGGAAAACAGAACATGAGTTTAGTAACATAAATGAGATTTCTTAAGGCCTTTGCAGGAAAGCAATTCACCTATACAAGAATTAAAGCTGACAGCAAGAGTTTCCACAGACAAATAAACAAGCTGACAATAACCTGAAGCACTGGTGTTGCTGATTTTCAGCCACATCGTCACAGAAGAGGAAAAAAACAAACAAAAACTACTCATGTTTTTATAAGGATTAGGCTCCAACACTAGCAAAAACAACTAAAACCTTAGCACTGCCATCTCTTTCTCTTCATTATATTCCCTGCTAAAATAATAATCAAACAATCTAGAAACTCAAAAGGTATTAAACAGATATAACAACTCTAGTATATTAGATAAAAAAGGAAGACAGTGTATTTCTTAGCATTCAAGTAAGAATAATGTTATTTCTTTATGTCTTAAAATATCAATCCATTAAAGAATTCAGAGATCCAAATACATTGAATTTATTGATATAACAAATAAACTAATTAAGCAATAATCAATTGAGAAAGCAACTGTACATCAATCAAGACCACTAAAGATATAAAGAAAATAAAAAAAACAAGGTTTGATAGCTTTGCTATCAAAAAGCACAGAAGGAAGAATGTGCTCATGGACAAAACTTCACCCAAAGAAAGATTTTCATAGTCCAGTGGAAAAATAACAATTCATGTTAAAGGACAAAGTAACCACTATCCAACATTAAAACAAATTTCACTGCACAAAGATTTATGTGACAGTCTATTAAAACAGACCCCGCGAAGAGAGAGAAAACATGAAGGTCATGGCACAGAGGAGTATTTTTTTCTTCATAAAATGCCATTGATGATGTGACCCAGCAAACAAAGCACAAGCCCAAAACACTCTGGTAATAGATGATGAAATCAAAAAATTTTTGAAGTGATGAATTAAGCCTGAACAATTCAGGTCACTCACATTTTTAAATTTTCCATTTTCAAAAAGACGCCACGAAAGTATGGACTGCTTCAAGCCCAGAAACATAGTTAAGGTTTGCCAATAGAAAAAATAACCAACAGTCTGAAAATTGTCTCAGTTTAAAAATAGTGGTGAAGGTGACATTTAGAGAAAAATCAACTGTAACACATTTTTCACACAATCTGTATTTTGAAGGATCTTTCTGAATGTTGTAAACAAAAACAGGCATATAAAAGTTTAAAATTTACATGCAACCTGAGAAAAAATTTTCTTAAATCTTCATTTGAATAAATGATCCCTGCTTGAAATACTTTGAATATTAAAAGCACTGTGTAAAAAGAAGAGAAAAAAAACCAATCAGCAAAGTAAAAAGTGTACTTGTTTTTATCTGTCAGTCAAGACCTGAGTAGTGTCTGATGCCAGCCAATGTGTGATGCTGCTTCACTCCCTCTGTGGCTCCTGGGAGTCAGCTGGTAGCCAGTTTGTCCAGATTTGCACTATCTTTAGTGTAGATATCGAGCCAAAGAAATGCTAAACAGGTGGTCAAAAATAAACTATTCTGTTTCAGGTTTCTCTTGTTTGTTTCCCCCTAAGTAAGTTTGTGAAGTGAGTAAAGCCACACAAACCTTTCAGAGAAAAAGAATGTCTTTCTTCTTCCAAATCAGATTTTGATTATGACAGAACTAGGAAATGGTGCTGTGATTGCCCTATCCTTTCTCCTTTACCTCTCAGGCAATTGGGTTTCTCTGAGCTAATTCTTCCTTGAACACAAGCGTAACCTTCAGGGGAAGAAATTACTTTAACCAACTGTTTGACTTATTCCAGAAGAGACTGCTTTCACATCTGAAATTGTCAAGGTTGAATTTACAGACCATGAAGTCTATTAAACCATGACCGGTGTAGGAGGTGCCAGGGCACAGCGGCAGCAGTGGAGGCTGTGGGGGCTCCGTGGGGGGAGGCCGGGGCTGCCCCAGCCGCACACAGCCGGTTCCAGCCGGACACAGCCGGTTCCAGCCAGACACAGCTTGTTCCAGCTGGACACAGCCGGTTCCAGCCAGACACAGCTGGTTCCAGCCGGACACAGCTTGTTCCAGCTGGACACAGCCGGTTCCACCCGGACACAGCCAGTTCCAGCTGCGCACAGCTGGTTCCAGCTGCACACAGCCGGATCCAGCCGCACACAGCCGGTTCCAGCCGGACACAGCCAGTTCCAGCCGGACACAGCCGGTTCCAGCTGCACACAGCTGGTTCCAGCTGCACACAGCTGGTTCCA